CTGTTCGACGTTGATTTGGGAAATTTCGTTCCGGAGATTTTAGCTTCGGAGATAAGCCCCAAAGTGGTCGACCCAAAGTGATCCAGAACGACAATTTGAGTAGGGGAATACCGGGTAATGGGAATCACCAAAACATCTCCAGAACTATAACCACTAGAAACGCGTTAACTGCCGTCCCCACCCCGCTCTGCCCCCCTGCCCTAATTACTGTTCTACTAGCATGTGACTTTTTTTCGCTTTTACTCGTACATTCAGCGTAATTATTTCATTCTCAAATCCCGAGTATTGCTTACATATTTTTAGTGTTTATTTTTCATTCTCCATAAAATACTTGTGGGTAATGAGGATCGGGTGAACCCCATTGCACGCTAATAATCACGATTTCCCGCAATGTAAAGGCACACTATAATTTTGTTATTCTGCTTTTATATGCTGGAAGTACGAGGAGTAAGAACTACCACAAAAGTTTACTGGTCAACTGACACTTTGAATAAAGCGTGAAACATTATTGAAGAAGCTGCTAAGGTTTCGTTTTTTGGATCACTTGAAGGGACATATAAAAAAGGACGACTTATACATGAGAAGTCACCTCGCAGAAAAGATCTCACCTTTCAAAGTAGCGTCCTTAATGGGCAAGTCATTTAATAACGTTGCGTTCATTAGTATAGAATAGTCGGGATTTAGACCTACAGGTATTTATTAATCCAATGAATCCCACCGTATTTTGTGATGAAGATTTTCTACCAGCTGAATTGCTCTGATCAAGCACTGTTGCTATTCAAAACTTTGATGAGTCAGTTGCAATTAATAGCCCAGCGCCAGGCCTAGAAAGTTCTTCAGGCCTGGCACATCAATGCAAGTTAGTTCACGGCTACCACCGACGCCACCAAAAACTTCTAGCGCCGTTGATTGTCTAGCCCCCTGGCCCATAAGTGGAAAGTGTTTAACTAGCACCTGGCAATACCCACAATACTAGCTAAAGTCACCAAAAGTAGCATGCCAAAATTTTAACATCCACGCCAATAAAAGAAAAAGTGACCAAGAAAAGTAAAACCGTTTGCCCAGCCAAGGATAAGGGAAAAGGAAAACCGAACCGAAAGAGTAAAGAGGAAGGTTATCCATGAATCACATGATACATCTGTTTCAGACGTGGCTACTGATGATTTATGACAAGATGATGAGCTAGATGATGCTGACGACACAGGGTATTCGTGCTCAATCTGCAACGAATTCGGCTGAAATAATGATGTTTGGTACAGGTGTACCTCATGTGGTTTATAGGCTCAGGCAGATTGTACGGCGTGGGATTCTGCCATGGTTTATGTTTGTGGTTTGCGATTTTTACTTCTGCATTTCCCAAAGATGATTATCAAACTGATGATTACTGATCTCAAATAATAGCCAATTAAGTAGATTTTTTTATGAGATGGTTGCAATACAAATTTACTATAATTTCATTCATTTATTTCAATTATTGCTTAAGTGATCCCCATTACCCCCTTTCTACCCTACCCTGATGGGGACTGACCGTCATAAACGGTGCGTGGGTTGACGTCTAAGCTGGCCGTCAGCTCCCATTTGATGGTTTGAAATGTATTGGAAAGGTCAAAAAGTTCAAAATGTAGGTCCCCCACAAATTGAACGATTGACAACTGTAGGAATACCCTATTATGAATTGTTTGAAACTTACAATTTTTGTAGTCTCGAGGTAAGGCGTGAATATTATTAATTTTTTTTATTCAAGGTCATAAACAATATAATTACCTGCTCTCAATTGTTACATATTGTAACGAATCTGAAGCCGCCCCGACCAATATGCCAGCCGGTTCATGAAACAAACACATGACGTCACCACGAAAGAATGCAACCGCCGGTAAAAATCTAGTCGAGTACTGAACCGACTAGAGATTTCTAGAATGAAGCGTTACATTATATAAGTCCGGCTTCCCGAGCCAAGGGGGAGTTCAAAAAAATGATTCGAGCGTTTAAACAAGTAATTAAAATAGTGGAAATAAATAAAGCATTAGTTGCTAGGTGTTGTAAATAAATTAGTTTGTGATTAGTGAAATATTATTGGAAATAAATTTGTTTAAGACAGTTTATTATTTAATTTGATACAATATGTCATTGTCATGCCATTTAGGAATAGTATCGCCTTTTATCTCAACACTCCGCGAACAAATATACTGAAAAAATCCCCAATTTATACAATATGCGATACCCCTGATTCTGTTAGTCGCGTTCTAGATATATTCAACTGGCAGATTATACAAATCGAAAGACATTTCTTAGCTAACTGACAATTTTGTTTTTAATTTTTTTCATATAGATTCACAAATTATATTATGTAAATACATATTTGTAATTGCCACTGTTTCTCCCTATTCTGTAATTGGGTTCATTCTGTTGAATACTGTATGAAGTAAATAAGAAACAGTCACGTTTCGAGATCTGTTCTTGTTTACTTTCGCGCATTTGAAATGATCCACTTGTTCGGTCTCAAAATCTTGCTATCGAAATTATTATGTTTTTTAAGTGAATCTTAGTTGTTTAGTATTCAGCCCAGAGTTGTCAGCTCTAGAATTTGTACAACAAAACAGGTTATTTTATGGCATTATTTTTATTTTATGTATCGTTAACTAATCTTGTTTGATTATTCCTAAACGAGGTTTTCCAGTTGGTTTTCTAATGTACGGGTCTTTTCTAATCCACTTATCCTCATAAAATATAATATTCTCACGTAAATATTGTAAGCTACAAATAGCTAAATTTTTAAATTCTTTAAAAGTTCCTTGTATCCCTTATCTTGGGAATTACCCGGTATTTTGACCGTTCCTACCTACCAAACCTCTGTCTATCCCTACAATGACGAATCTGACCCCTTCTCTAACTACCGAGTGCTACCGATGTGAAACAATGCATTTTGTAAAATCATTCATTACGTTTCAAACCTTTCACAAGAGTTACTGTAATTCTTGTGTGCATTACGCATTCATACTCTCGATAAAATAATCGTGGATCAAAAAACCTTTTTTGGAATGAATTGTCACATATGATGAAAGGTGGATCCTCTAACGATATTAGGAAACGTTCAGAACAGTACTTGGCACTTCTCGACACTTTCTCGTATTTTTATTTTGTTACTTTTTCCAAATATCATCTTTTTTAGAGAAAAACATATTTAGATATGATTGTATTAGATAACGTTGACAATCCACTTTTGAAAAACATCAACTCTTCGTATAAAGCAATCAAATGAAGTTGTAATAAAACCATTCTCCTTTCTTTGCACGTCGTTCGTATTTACAGGAATTATTTGTTGTGATATAAATGTCCTTCTTTTGTCGGTTGGTTCGCCATTGTTGTTTTGCATTCAACATTTCATTTTGTGCTACCACTAATAAGCAATAGGCAATTTGCATTTAGTCCGAGTGGTATTGTTGGCTGCATACCCAAAGAAATTACGTTTGACGTGGATCCGGTGCATTCCACTGGAAGCACTATAAAAACCCTTTTATAATATTGTTTTTTTTATGCGAAATAAAACTCAGGTTTGCAGTGGGAAACAAGTCGTTGCCATCGACACTTTTCCAATTATTACATTTCGTAACAGCTAAAGTTATTATGAATGTCTTTGGAAGTAATCCAGAAATATGAGATAACTTATATTTCCTATGGTGTGCCTGCATTTATATAGGTAAGTAGGTTTGAATTAGTTGGTACAGGGGAATGTAACTTTATTTCCAAAATAGATTTCTGGATATTAACAATTAATATAGTATTAGTTCTGCCAAACTCTCGTTGGTATCATATCTGATAACCACATTTGACCACTCAAATGAATTGGCCTAGTCGACTGGATCCATATCTGTTTCATTTGCTCCTACAACCCTAAGAAACCCTGAGATAATGAGATCCATTGCAAAGTTAAAGAATGTAAACTTTCACGCCCGGAGATCACTTTGTGAAAGCGATCGTTACAACATCGCCATTGACAATGTCTACGGCAGTTGTAGACGAAACGTCAGACATAAAATCTGCAGACTGAAGTCAAAAAACACGGAAAATAGCTGAAAGAGGTAAAAAAACAAAAAAGTTTCATTTCTCATCTTTATTATTTTTAAATATTTACTGTCTAAAAGATTTCCGCAATTTTGGATGTATACGTCTCATTTGTAGGACCCACTTTGAAACAAGAAAAGAGAATTGAAACTTTCTATGTTTTTTATCACTTTCATTTGTAATTAACGTTACTGTAGTTTCGTCCTATAAGGACATTTCAATTCTCTTATCTTCATTATGATTTCCTACCACGTAGTATCGGCTACATCCATCAATTCACCCACTTTAAATATCAATCTATGACTATCCTAAGATATTTCATATTCAACAAAGAAGCGAATTATACTTCCCCATAAGTCCCACAGCCATAATTTTTTCATTAAGGTATAAGTTTGAAAATGTCCATATAGGATAAAACTGCAGTAACGTTAGTTACAAATGAAAGTGATAAAAACATAGAAAGTTTCAATTACTTTTTCTTCATTATGATATCCTACCACGTAGTAACGGCTACATCCATCAATTTACCCACTTTAAATATCAATCTATGACTATCCTAAGATATTTCATATTCAACAAAGAAGCGATGTATACTTCCCCATAAGTCCCACAACCATAATTTTTTCATTAAGGTATAAGTTTGAAAATGTCCATATAGGATAAAACTGCAGTAACGTTAGTTACAAATAAAAGTGATAAAACCATAGAAAGTTTTAATTATCTTTTCTTCATTATGATATCCTACAATGTAGTAACGGCTACATCCATCAATTTACCCACTTTAAATGTTAATCTATGACTATCCTGAGATATTTCATATTCAACAAAGTAGCAAATTATACTAATCCATAAGTCCCACAACCATTTTTTTTTCATTAATATTTGTATTCCAAAGGAAATATAAATATTGAATTTGTTTTTGAAGAAAACTACAGTCCTTGATTGCACATCAAATATTTTATTAATGAAATTCATTACTTTTTGTCAATTGAAATATTCATTAGTTTCCAGATCCTTGAGGTTCCTTTTTTGTTTATTCTCTATTTCTCGTCCTTTTAATTATGTTGAATAATTGCGTCAGATCTTGGTTGAAATACTACAGAAAACCTTCTGCTCTTCAGGATTGAGTCACACAAGTTTAATCACTGGAACTCTTCGATTCGTCTGTATCTTCGGTTTCGCTCAAACATATTTTGAGGAGTTATTAGCAGTATATACATATATTGCAATGTGACCATTCGCAGTTCTCAGTTTGTTTAAAGTTTTCTTCACTCTCATTGCAGTGAGTCTGACAGCGGGATTTTCATGCCACATTTCCTACAAAAAATAACAAAAATATTGATCGAACCGTCTAGTAACTAAATTAATTTCATTGAAATTCATCTTTGATGTTTTCTTTCCCACCCGAACCAATCAAAATTGTTTGAAGGTTTCTCTTTCGTATCACTCCAATATGAATAACTAGTTGTCGTCCGCGGCTTTACCCTCGTAGAATTTGGTTGGTAAGTTTCAGTTCAGTTTGATCTTTCATCATATGTTGAGAGTTTTTGAATTTGTTTATTTCCATACTCTCCCAAAAGGTTGAATTTCAAACCATTCTTCTGGAAATGGGGGAGCTTGAATTCATGGTTGCCCCTTCCCTCCATTTCTAGAAGAAAGGTTTGAAACTTAACCTGTTGGAGAGTATGGAAATAAACAATTCAAAAACTCTCGAACTGAATTGAATAATTCGCCATTATTGAATCTGTTTATTTTCAGGTACTTTCGAAACATCAATTCATATATAGTTCGTTCAGTATTGTCTGAGAGTAAAAAAATTTCAAGAATACAGACATGTCGCTACATCAAAGAAAGCAACATAGTCGTCTCAAGCAAATAGCACTGCAATTCATCCACAAAATCATTGAGATATGTCTACCCTGCTTTCCTGCTTTCGGCAAACAAGTGTTGCTCATCTTTACACTTGGCTGCACCGCGCTGATGAGGCCAATAGCCAGAAACACGTGTCCGCGGTTTGCCCCCCTTTTTTTTTGAGTGTTGTGTCCACGAATTATTTCATTCTTGATTTGTATCATACACACTCGATAAAATCTCTATCTGTATTTATATCCTGGACCCGGATGTCACGCAGGTAGCTATAGCTGCCTACGTGGTCATGTTAGATGTAGCCTGGTAGCCAGGGAATTCTAGGTCTTCTAACTGGGACCACAAATGCGTGGTTGGCTTCTCTTGTTGACTCCGTGCATATGTGTTGTTTCCTGCTTTCGGCAAACAAGCGTTGCTCATCTTTACACTTGGCTGCACCGCGCTGATGAGGCCAATAGCCAGAAACACGTGTCCGCGGTTTGCCCCCTTTTTTTTTGAGTATTGTGTCCACGAATTATTTCATTCTTGATTTGTATCATACACACTCGATAAAATCTCTATCTGTATATACTGCTGTAATCTCTCTCCTTTCTAAACAGATTATAGTTGATGAATTCATACCTGGCCTTTTCTGGTAGATTCATTCATTAGAAAGTAGGCATACGTACAAGTATGTGATATGTTAGAGTTTAAAAAAGTTGTATTTTAGAAGTAAATGTACCTACTCTACCTCAGTACTCACCTGCATTATTTTAGCAAAAGTTTTCATAATTTCATGATTGTCCCAGCTATCTGGTATTTCTGGCCGAATTTTTTTAACGCATACAACTTCTTTCATCTCCTCGAATGTTGGGTTATTCGAAACGTTGTCTTGGAATGGTATTTGGTATTCCAAATCGAATTGTTCGTCAAAATTACACCTAGAATGATTTTGAAATATTTATTTGGAAAATAATTACACTTGTACGTCAAAGTGTTCAACTGTTTAACGCCTGTCTGGAAAGAAAGTTTTTCTCTGCACTATGGAAGCGAACCAAGGTCGTTTGAATTCCAAAAAGGACGGGAACCTCAGGCCCTTCAGTTCACTGACAGGCATAGGGCAGATGTTGGATGTTGGACAGGCTTCTCAATGGTAGGATTCAGATCTGGAGTGAAAGGAAGTTGAAATTCTCTCCTAACCGGTTTGGTTTTAGAGGAGGAATGGATACAGTAGTAGCCGTAGAGAAAATGGTGAAAAAGATGAGAGAGAATAAGAGAGGATGGAGACACAGTCTGATTGTGGCGTTGGATCTGTACAACGCCTTCAATACTGCCTGGGCACCAGCAATTGAGAGGTGTATGACGCGAATGGGAATTCCGAAAAAGTGGGTAAGACGTGCATGAGCTTCATAGGGTAGAGAAAAGTTACCTGCGGTACGGTCTCTGAAACGGTAAAGAGAGGCTGTCCTCAGGGTTCTAGTCTGGGACCGACTCTATGGTTGGAAGCAGGGTGCAAGTGCAGGCCTACGCGGATGACCAGCTGGTCATCTTCAAAGGTGGCTCTGTCAATGGGGTCGATGATAGATGGAATCTGTTCTGGGGTGAACGCAAAGCATGGGAGGGAGAGATGTGGTTGGGGTACAACGAAAAAAAGACAGAGTATGTACTTATAGGCCAGAAGAAGTGAATGATCCCCGGTCATAAGAATGGATGAGAGTGAGATTGAGACAAAAACGAATGTGAGATACTTGGGAATTGTGGTAGAGTCTAGATTATTATTCACAGACCACCACAATGAGGTGTCCTTTCTGATCGCCTCATGTGGGCGAAAACTACCGAAAATTGTGTCAGCAGCATCCGTCACTGGTCAACAGAAGAAAAAAGAATCCTGCTCAATGACAATGGCAGTCCGAACGTTTCCCAAATCACTGTCCGAAAATTAAACGAATTGAGCATGGAAGGTCTGCCTCACCAACCATACTCGCTAGATCTCTCGCCTACCGACTTCCATCTTCTCAAGCACTTTGATAAATTTCTCACCGGTAGAAATTTAGCCAATCAGGACCAGGCAAAAACGACCTTCGTCGACTTCATCGACTCCCGAAAACATAATTTTTATGTTGACGAAATTATTCGACTTGCCTTCGTTGGCAAAAGTGCCAACGATATTATAGTTCAATGTAGACTCATAAAAACGAAGAGAACTTTTTGGGCAACCTAATATAAAAATCATATGTGCATAAACAGTGAGTTCGAGCGAAATAATTTCGATCCGAAAATTTAATAAACTGAGGAAGTTTTCAAAATCATGTTTTTTCAAACCACTGTTTGATTCATTTTTCAACTATTAACTCCTGAAAATATTTTTTTATATTTGTATAAAACATTTATTCCATGAAGGTGTTGAATATGATAAGTAAGAACACCTAAAGAAGATATGCAAATGAAAAGAAAGAAATTCTTCTGAAGGATTTATATGATATTACGCACCAATAGTTTATATTTTTTGTTTTACGGTTTTACTTCCTTTTTACTATAGAATAAGGAGGTATAATATGTGATGAAAAATATTCTGATACTGATCGTTTGTTAATTAATTTTTCCAAAATTCGATTATGATATTTTATATTGGGATACCATCGAGAAATATATCTTGATATCTATCTAGACAATAAATACAATAATTCACTGTAACATTGTGTATAAAAAAAAGAAATTTTAAAATACTTCGATAATTTTCTCTCAATTAATGCAGTAATTTATTGAAAACAAGTCCGTCTCACTTGTGTATCTCAATGTAATTTCAAAAACTGTACGAGAGAAAACATATTTGCTGTGATATTGACTTTCAAAAAGTGATAGCAGTTTCAATATATTGCAGTTTTGAAAAGTAACCCAACGAAAGAAAATCGTACCTTCTGGACATTTCCCACAGTACTAAACCCAATGCATAAATATCAGCCATTTTATGGGCATATATATTTTGGTTGTCGATGGTATCATTTAATATTTCTGGGGCCATATATCTGCAAAAATAATGATTATAATTACTGAGATTTAACAAGTGATTATATATTAAAATTAACATGGTGTACCACACTTCTCACTGTTCGCAGACGACACCAGCATAATCGTTCAAGACTTCGGTCAAGCCAATCTTTAAAACACTTCAAAACATCTTATGTATCACATACTGGACTGGTTTTCTGCTAACAAATTACGTTTCAATCTTTCTTAAACTAATTCCATATGCTTTCAATTCAAATTACGTCTCAATCTTTCTAAAACTAATTCCATATACTTTCAATTTCTCAGCCATAGCAATGAAATTGACATATTATAGATTTCTTGAGATGTTCCATTGCCAAACAAAATCGGAATAATTCTCAGGAATCATAAATACCTTTTTGTACCGCTAATCGTGTCAGAAGGAAGATTGATTTTATTTGTGTTTGATTTAAATTGTACAGCAAGTCCAAAATCTGCAATACAGCATTCTCCATCAGCCTTCACTAGAATATTTTTGCTTTTTATGTCTCTGTGGGCAATAGCTGGTTTTCCATGAACCTGAAAAATTATTATCGGTACTAAGCATCCAAATTTAAATTGAAAAATAATTGTTGGCTCAGTCAGAAATTGATGCAAATTGAAAAAAAGTTTGCTAAAAGATGAGAGCCAACGGTACTTTTGAATTGAAATTTCGATTTTTCATTCCGAATTTAGATTTCAAACTCAATATTTACAACCTCAAAATAGTTTTGAAATGTATCATTGAGAGCAATTTTTCTCATTCTTCTCCTGTACACCTTTTATGTCTTGCCGCTGAAATTACATAGCAGAGAGTAATTGTCTGAAATTAATATTCAGTGTGAGAAGAAAGCAAAGGATATCACATAAACTCCAAGAAATTGATTGAATTACTATGGATACTATAGAAGAGTACTCCATTTCGTGAGGCTTTTGATTATAAGACAAAGTCTTGTTGACAATATCTACTTTCAACACTGAATTTTTTAGGTAATCGTGCAGTGGACATATTTCATTAATCTATAATCTAGTCCCGCAAAAATATAAAAAAACTCAAATTTCAAGTACACCATGCCTTCCACAAAAACATATTGGTGTCATCTCAAAGCTGAACTTTTGTTTTGCATTGTTATATGTTGACTTCAGAATAAATGACATTTATGAAATACGTACGATCTGTTGAAACAAAATTTATGGAATTCTTTTGTTTTCAAAAAATAATATACAAATTTCTTAGGATTAACTGAATTTCCCGTCACGGGAAATGAACCTACTTTATAACACTGTAGTGTATTTCATCAGTTCGGACTTCCATTGTCTGATATAATATAAATTCATTTGAAATCTCTGAAAAAAATTCAAAAAATCAACCGAAAATAACAATTTTATTGAACAAAAACTGAAATTACAAAGAAATAACATACAAGCTACAACCAAAAAAATAAAAAATTGAAAAATTAATTAAAGCTGGAAATTAAAAATATTATTAACAAAAAGTGAAATTGAAAGATTCCAAACCAAGTTACGTCACGTCGTTCCGATTGTTAGTATCCACAATCGTCTTCGGGTGATAACTGGATTTATTCCGTGGAAAATCATCTTCGATTCAAGCAGGTTGGAGCCCAGCTCCCTTAACCTCAGGACTGATACAGGACTTATTCCTCCGAGATCCGACTATTTACAGGTCATTCGAGTGCTTTCACCTGTCCCCTCTTCCCTCTCTCCGCTTCATTGATTTTAGCGGGAGATGACCGTTTGTCGGGAGTTGGTCGTTTTTCGCTTGATTAGAGGTTTCCATATGTTACGTATCTCAACGCTGGCTTGGCTGAATACGTTGTTGGACAACTTATACGTAGCTTCTTTGAATTCTCTCCTAAACCAGTGTTCCTCTTTGTGGATGATTTCAGCTTGAGCCTACTTGATTTTATGCTGATGACTCTAAACATGCTCTGCTATTTCGGATTTGCTGGTTTCTCCTCGCTGTGTGTGTTTCTTGTGCTCAGCAATGCGAACTTTCAATGGCCTCTTAGTTTCACCGATTTATGATTCTCTGCACTCGAAGGGTTTCCGCTAAATGCAATTCTTGGAATCGCAGTCCGCGTTTGGTGGCCTGGTTTTCGTGAGGCTGCCACGGATAGTGATCCCAGATCTGAAGCAGGTTCTGATGTTATACTTGGACCCAATCCTTTTCATCCTTTCCGATAATCCTCTGATGTAGGGAAGTACAAGTACTAGTTATGGCAGTTTCTCTTCCTTATGGGTCTTTGCTGTCTTCTAAAGCTAAAGTCTCTTCTATCATCACTCTGAAGTAACCATTCCGTTGAAAGTCATTTTTGATGATGCCTAGTTCCTTTTCGAGACCTTCCTTTGTATTACAGAGCCCGAAAGCATGGTCTAGTAGAGTATTGATGATTTCTCTCTTAGTTGATTGATGACGGTTGGATTTCTGGTTCAGATACTGCCCTATGTGAGTGGGATATACATATGTTTCCCATTTAGTGTCGGTCCTCTTCACCAATATGTCTAAGAAACAACACTGTAGTATTTAGTATTGTTGTGAATCATGCAAAAAATAAAAAATAACGCCGGCCGCCACTGGTAATCATAAACCAAACGTGACGTAGCTGAGAGCGTGCGTATGTACGATGATTCTCCACTAGTCTAGAAAAGCGAGAATAATGCTACCGACTTCGATGCAACTGCGGCCAAATTTCTACGGCATTCAATTACGATATTTAAAGGCTAGCCACGAAGATATCGATACAGTCAAGTGGAAGCCACAGTGCGGTACGCAAAGTGATCTAGTGAGGCGATAGACATTCAAATAATAGTTAAGTTTTCAGTTGAAGTGTTTGTTGTATTAAAAGTGGAATAAAGTTAAGTCTATTCAGGGTAGTCAATTATTGGTGAACCCACGGGGGAAAACGTAACAGTATTATGACTGAAAACAATAAAAGCAATATTATTATCATTATAAATAATATAAATGGAGAGAGTTTTCGAAACCTCAGATTTTTCTGTTTGATTTCTCATGATATGCTGAAAAAAATTCTTATGACTTTTATAATATTGTGTGTTTCATTACACACTTCACACATATGCAGAGTATAACAAAAAGGTAGGTCATAAATTGAGTCACATATGCCGGGGTCAATAATAACTCGCTTGTATATACTTACCTTAATGCGAATGTGCATACAAAAATAGTACAGCATTGGAAAATAGAGTAGAGTAAATTATTTGACCACTCTATATATAAAATATATTTATGGCAAGTCATATATACTATATATTATAGGTACTATGATAGATACTTAAAATGAGCAACAACGTCTTTAGATTAAAGTAAATACGAAAGGGCTTCATCAGAACTTTACAACATGAATCATTTTTCAAGAACTATGAATTGACCAGCCACAGCAGCATATTTTTTGATTGTGTAAAAACAGTGGTTGAGAATATATCTCTTGATATTATTTTTAAAATTTCTGAAATCCAAAGATTTGTCTGTGGGATGGAGACAATTGTATTAGTTTAAATTCAGGGAGTTTTTTTGACCAACTGCTAATCTGTGTCTTGTATTATTCAATAAACATGCGGATCTTGTTGAATAGTCATGATTGTGAAAGTGTTTTGGAAACATCTCCATATTCTTGTGAATCTCCAATAACACAACATAAATATATATGATTTCAAATTGAATAAAAAGAGGACGACTATATTTGCCATGATTCTCATGGCTTTTTTCTGACATCTGAAAATTGTGATTGAGTTTGTGGAATGCCTCCAAATCAATACTCCGTATGAACTAACTGCGTGGAATAGTGAATGATAAGCTATCTTCAGTGTCATCAAACCTACAGCATTTCGCAACTGTCTAAGAACAAATAAAACACTAGACAGCTTACGAGTAGTTGCTTCAATGTGGCTGGACCAATATTACAATATTCCTTCAGTTTCAGTTTATTTGCTGTGAACCAATTGTTTGCTGAGTTTTCATATCTGTCTCATTTGAGGTAAACTGATATGTGATTTGTCTGAGCATGTGAGGGTTGTGTCGTCGGCAAACAAAACTCATTTTGTTGGTGGAATAAAGATACATAAGTCATTCATATAAATGATGAATGATATTGGACCGAGGACAGAACCCTGAGGAACGCGATGACAAATTTACTTCAAATCTGACTTGACATTGTTGACATCGACAAAATGAAATTTGATATTTACCAATATTTCATGAACTATTCAACACTTTGAAATGAAAATGAATCCTTGGCTCTCTCACCGAAAGAGTATCTTTTTCATATGGAACCACGAAATATGTTCAGCCCATACAAACTTTAGGGGTGGTATTGAACTCCTGAACTCTTTCAAAATCTTCTATGCGTTACATCTAAATTAGTTGTGACTAAGTATGGTTCGATACATCATTTTTTTTGCTAGTTAACAATCTTTCGAAAAGCCCGTTTTCATCGAGATGTGTCAAAAATTTTGAGCAATAAAAAAGTTATAATAATGAGTATTCAAGTTATTTGCAGGCACATAAAATATGTAAAAGTGTGAGGAATTTCCTGAAATAAATATTCAAAATGGCCTTCACTTTCGTGAATACACATTCGGTAACGCTTTAAAAAAAGATAACTAAATTTTTTGAAATATCATAGGCTTCTGACGAAATCCATTCGCACTTTCAATGATTCAATACCTCAGTTGTTGTTCGACAATTATCCCAACAGAATACACGTCCTCTTTCAAAAAACTTTAGTAGCAAAAGTCGATAGAGTTAAGATCTGGACTTCTGGCTGGCCAAGAAATAGGTGCATCAGGGCCACTTCTAATCCAACGTCCAGGGTACCGACCGAAAAGATATTCCCTAACTTTGTTATTGAATTGCACAGGAGCCTTATTCTTGAATTCACCACTTCCAAGTATTCTGGCAAATCATTTACCGTAACTTTTGTAGACGCATTTCGCGAACATCGTAGCTTCCTCTACCAAGCAAGCTACGATGTCTAAACGCGTCTAAAAATGAAAAATGTTAGATATGTTTGTGAGATTGTTCATTAATTATGATGGGTAATGTAACGGTTCGGTCCACTCCTAATTCTCAAAATATTCCATTAGCAAATGTTGACAGAGTTAAGATCTGGACTTCTGCCTGGCCAAGAAATAAGTGCATCAGGGCCCCTGCAGACCGGAAAGATATTCCCTAACTTCGTTATCGAATTGCGCAGGAGCTCCACACATCATGCTTTATTCCTAAATTTACCTCTTCCAAGTATCCTGGTGAATCACTGAGCAGACATGGATCCTTTTTCATCACAAAATGTTTAACAGTTCATAAAATATTGAAAAAAAATGTATTTTCATTTAGTACTTTCCAAGGGATCTAACGTTTTTGTGTGCACATGTAAGTTATATCCACTCGAGTTATTCTTGACCCCAGAATGTGTTTCAATTTATGACCTACGTTTTGGTTACACCCCGTATACTGGAACCTGTGTTAAAGTTTCTCCATAGTATATAGTTTCTTCATACTACAGTACTCAATGTTACAATGTTCATTGGGTGACTATTATCAACAGTTGTTCATTAACTGAATGATTCTTACATCAAAGATTTCTTCGTGAAGGTGTGTCAGACCTCTGGATATACTCCATGCCATAGTCACTAATAAGCGTGGATCAATAGTACGCGTTTGGAGATAATCGTATACAGATCCATATTCGTGAAAATCTGTGATTAAAATCATCTGAGTCCAGCCACAACTTCCTGAAAACATGTAAGGAATGTTACATTTTTGAGAATATGGAGTCCTACTCTTACCTCTGATATCCGATGCTATGAAGCCTAATATGTTTTCGTGCCGCATATGAATCGTCTGATATACCTCCAATTCTCTCTTCCAAGATTTTTCCTCGGTAGTGAGAAAAACTTTGGCTGCAACTTTCTCTCCTTGCCTTTTCGCGAACCAGACCTCACCGTATCGGCCTTTTCCAACTACTCTTTGCTAAAAAAAAGAGCAGTTATTGTTTTTTGGTAGGTATGACATCACATAGCACTTTCTTAACATCCCCATCCAAATATTGTCTATGGGGATGGGATATTCACGTTTCAATGATGAATAACCAATTTTAAGTTTGTAGGTTACCTGTTCATGAAATCTTAGTTTATGATCTGAAATTAACCCCAAATTTTTTGAATACGGTCTAAATTGTATCTAAGAGTCTCACATTTCCAAGCTGTAGTTTTTTACTTCTTCCCTGATGCTATCACTTCCAAAGATAATAGCTATACTCATATTTGTTTGGACTGATTTTCAACGTATGGTCAGTGGACAATTCGGAAATCGTATTCAGATAAAAATTCATATCGGTCACTGCCTGACCTATATCTGAAGATTTTAAAGATAAATATACTTGATAGTCATCTTTATAAAAGTAATATCTACAAGATTTCAAATTTTTGATAAATGTATAGAGTAGTATTGGGGGGTATAGAGGGTATTGAAAAGTGGGCCTAAAATGCTGCCTTGGGGTACACCTATTTTAACTTCTCTCCAAGTATAATAAATATCATGGACCTAAACTTGTAATGTAATATAGCACAGACTATTTTATGATTGATGGTGTCAAATGCTTTTGCTAATCCAAAAGAATTAAAATGGCGGCTTCATTCTTATCTATAGCAATAATTATGTCATCTACAAACTCTAATGATGTTCTTGCACAAATATAACCTTTTCTGAAACCAGACTGTTTATGTGGCATTTGATTTTCCATTACTCATTCTATAATCTTGGAAAATTTCGGAAGAATACTTATTGACCTTGAATCATTAAAATTTTGTTGTTGATTATTTTCTGGCAAGGGTATAATTTTAGCACATTTACATGCATCAGGAAAATAACTTTGACTTGTGCAATTGTTTATTATGTGAGTTGGTACCGTTATAATGAAAGAACCACACATTTTTATAATATTTATATTGATATCATCTACCCCATATGCTTGTGATTTTATGCTAATCATGATGCTGAAGGTTTCATTTTCAGTAATTGATCACATATATCTTCTTTTCTGTTCGTGCCATGAAAGCGCAGTAAGTCTTCATCCAGTAAGTCTTCATCGCTAATAGCTTCTACATTTTTCAAGTTCTCAGGGAGTTCTTTATTTTTACTTTTCGCAACTTTTAAATTCTTAAGTTCCTGCCATCCACCCTTTACTAGCAGTGTCACGTAGTTTATATTATGCCCTTTTCTCGTAGCTTGTGTATAATTCCTCAATTGTTTATCGTTATCCCAATGATGTGCTAGTTTTGACTTAATGAATCAAGTTAATGTTTTGTAGCGTATAGCTGTGTTAGTATAATTCCTCAATTGTTTATAGTTATCCCAATGATGTGCTAGTTCTGATTTAATAAATCAAGTTAATATTTTGTAGCGTATAGCTGTGTTAGTTTAATTACTCAATTTTTTATGGTAATCCCAATGATGTGCTAGTTTTGACTCAATTAATCGAGTTAATGTTTTGTAGCGTATAGCTGTGTTAATATAATTCCTCAATTGTTTATAGTTATCCCAATGATGTGCTGGTTTTGACTTAATGAATCGAGTTAATATTTTGTAGCGTATAGCTGTGTTTGTATAATTCCTCAATTGTTTATAGTAATCCCAATGATGTACTAGTTTTGACTTAATGAATCGAGTTAATGTTTTGTAGCGTAGGTATAGCTGTGTTTGTATAATTCCTCAATTGTTTATAGTAATCCCAATGATGTACTAGTTTTGACTCAATGAATCGAGTTAATGTTTTGTAGCGTAGGTATAGCTGTGTTAGTATAATTCCTCAATTGTTTATAGTAATCCCAATGAGGTGCGAGTTTTGACTTAATGAATCGAGTTAATGTTTCATCTCTCAATTTCTGCATCAGTCTTATTTTTTCAGTTATCCAAGGAGTGTAATTTTATTTTTTCAAAAAGATATTTTTTTTAGAATGACAACATAATGAAATAATGAAATCATTCATGATATTTACTTCAATAATATATCTTCAAAATCATGTTCATTCTTAGGTTTAACCAGATATAACTAAGAAATCGTTGAATGCTGAAAGAGAAAATAATTGTTATTTATTGCCTAGAACTAACTCAACCTACCATCTCTAACTGCTTGGAAATCGTTCTTTGAACCATAATAGTGGGTCCTGATCCAGATCCAGCGGACTCTTCAATTAGCTGAGGTAAAGTGCTCGACTGAAATCGATCAATATATTTGTTAGATTCGTCAATATTTTCTTTCATATCAGTGCTCATTTTCTCTGTGTTCGAGTTATTTTCAACTTTTTCTTTTCTCTTCTTTCTGCGATACCTCCAGAAAACAAATGCTATAATAGCTACTAGTACAGTAAAGCACAAAGTGACAGACGACCCTAGCAGGATGTAGGGCATTTTATGATGCAAGCTGACGTTTTTGATTGTGTGTTTCGGAAAGAGGCGGCTGTTGCAAAAATCAGCATCATTACAACACTCAATACTTTTGCTTTGAAAGTGCGGCACTAAAGATCCTTTGCACTGAAAAAAAAATAGAAAATATAATAATTAGGCTATTGGAAACACTTTCCCAACAGCAGAACCAAATTACCGTCTCTCGACACACGTTTCGCTAACCAAGTTAGAATTGTCTGACCTGACATTATTATGCCCATTTCGGAAACATTTATGTTTATGGAAAAAATCACTACTTGGGTTTTTATTGCATTGAATTGTTGAACCTGATCACATTCACCCCAATTCGAAATTACTTCTAGATCGTCATTAAGATATTGAACCTCCTGCTGCCGGAGAAGATGTGCATCCGCAGCCGATATCCTGGAATCCAAATATAATGACGAGACAAGTGTGCTGTCGACAAGTCGTTGTATACCCCAAGTTTTACCACAAATCATACGACAGATATTTCAGCTCCGTTCCAAATGGAATGACCTCACCATTGAGAAAAAATGGCGTTAGGTTGTCCAATTTCCTTCAGCTGATGAAGGGAATTATCACAGTGTTGTTGGGGTTGACAGACATCTGCTACCTCAAGCACCAACTGTGAACAAAGCACAAACTGTGAACAAACGGCTATCACAAGTTACCCCTTCCAACGTGGATCTTGCCATCTGCATAAGCTTGCATATCTACTTTTCTTCTGTGGAGGGCATCAAGCAGACTATCCGTCAGGAGCGACCACAAAATGGGAGATGATATCCTACCTTGAGGTGACCCTGGTGACCCTGAACCTAATGGCCGTGCCTTGAAGAGTCGTAGTTGCAGTTCTGCAACTACCTTTCCTAGCCAGAAATGATCCTACAGATTTAGGTGATGTATTGTCAAATGCTCCTGCAATATCGAGAAATACAGCAACCGCAATATCTTTGATATGTCAAGGAATTGGGTATGGATTTTCATCAAGTGTCGGTCAATTCCATAATATATAAAATTGATTTTCTTTATCTTATATTCTATGAGAGTTTCCACAAAATAAAAATATCATCAGTCGAACAAATAATAATTTTTACTAACTGTAAATGTGAAATTTGAAAATCTCTTTCTAATCGTCTTCTTCCGTCTATACAACGTACAGTTTGTGATCAATTTTGATCGAATTATCTAGAAAATTCAATGTTCGTTGTGTTCAATGAATATAGCGAACTCACCTGCAATGTTGCCATTTGAGTATCCGGCAAGCATCCGAATGTTAGTGTGGGATAATCGTCTTCGTAATCATCAGTTTCAACAACGACGGATGCAAAACATTTGCCGCCGGGGATTGTGACTTCGCAAAGGCCCTCTCTTTCTGGATCTTCAAATGGGCAATGACCTTTGCAATAACACTGGACAACGGGTGCTGCCAAAAAAGTCAAATGAATTAATCCAGGATGTTATGTTGAACAATTGTTAAAATTGAATATAACAAAAAAAAATCAATGTATTATATAGTCTTTCAACAGGTACTTCCGATCTTCAACAATTGATAATAATTGACCAACACCCGTTCGTCGACGAAACCCAATACCTGTCGAAAACATCTCCGCTATCTGTGAGAGTGTGCAGAAGAATCCGAAGCAGTCGATTTCGCGTCGCCGACAAGCACCCTAGAGAACCTCTAGCAACGCCAGTGGTATCTGGATTCCGTGTAGCTGCGGGTCGATCTACATCGGAACCACGAAACAAAGTATAGGAACCCGTCTCTCCGAAGACAAAAGAAACTGTCGCCTCGGACAAAATGACGAATCGGTTTTGCTAAACATGCTCTCAAAAAAGAAGGTATACCTATATACCCACATTATCTCATTCGAATACTCGACAGTTTAGTCGAAGTAACCTGTATTGTGAATAGTTAAAGCTATCGGCATCTCAAAGGCCAAAAAAAAACAATACTGAGAAATAATGCCGCTGCCAACTAGTCTACGTGGACTGAAGAATTGGCGGTTTGTATTGGATAATTTTTACTAACTGAGTTTTATGATTGGCTGAAGAGTCAAAAATTGAATTTGAAGTCATGTTACGGTGACGAATAGAATGAGTATCGTCGTTGTATCGCCAATGTTCAGTTCAGGATCTGATCGAGATTTGAGTGTTGAAACTTGATATTGGCGCAGTTATAATTACTCAAAATTTTTGTTATCTGTTTAAATTGTGGCGTCCTTAGACAAGTACTAATAGTAATAACTAGTGTGATAACAACGAAGACTTTTTCCTGTGTAGTGATTCCTGTGAGATGAACAATGCGAAAAAGAGATACCAGTGAAAAAGGTTCGGATGTATTTGAATATTGAAACACAGAGATTATGTTTCAACGTATATAAGAATCTACATCTCAAGTGTGGTTTCGAGGGAAACAAACTATTACAAGCAACATCAGATTTGACCGAAATTCCTTTCTCAACTGTACGTAAAATAGTCAAAAGCAAACCTTATGAATGCAAGAAGCGATGTGATATGGAATTACCAAAACCTTCAGATGTTCATCTAATGAAATCATTGAAAAACACAATATACTACTGTTACAAAAGCAATAAAATTTCTACAACTGAAATCATAAGGAAGAAATTGAATACTTCCGGCCATAACGTGAACTGCTGTGACAAAACTCTTCAGAATTGGATAAAGAAATTAGGATTTAGATTTAAAATAATAAACAAATGTCAAGCAGTTATAGGAAGCAGAATTGCGTAACAAATACTTAGAACAAATAACTAAATATAGACAGGAGCAACGGCAAATTTCCTATTCGGACGAAACTTGGTATGACACTCACGACATAGTTACGAAAGGGTGGACTGATGGTTCGAGAATATGTACGCCTAACACGCCTGCAAATAAAGGATCGCGACTAATCATTGTGCATTGCGGAGGAAGTGAAGGATGGGTTCTGAATTCTTTGAAATTATGTGGAAAAAAACTTGGGGACTGTAATGTTGACTATCATAAGAACATGGAAGCTAATATTTCTGAGGAATGATTTAAAAAACATCGATCCCAAATTTGAATGCGAATTGTGTAATAGTTCTTGACAACGCTTCCTATCATTCGTGACAGCTCATCAAAATACCGAAAAAAATTCTAGGAAAGATGAAATACAAAGTTTTTAATAGATATCAATTTGAATTGTGAAGATAACTATATCAAAAACCAACTACAGACAAAAACATTAGAAAAAGTGTATGCGCTTGAGAGTATTGCTGAAAAGTATGGACACACCATACTGACACTTCCCCCCTATTTTTGTGTTTTCAATCCCATCGAGTTGATTTGGGGAAAATTGAAACAAAGCATCAGGCGTAAAAATAATTTTCCAAAATTTGATAAGAAGGTTATAGAGCTAATTAAAGAAGTATCTAATATAACCGAAGAAGACTGGCAAAAAAGGATTAAAAAAGTAATTTTATTTGACAAAGACTATATGGAGATTGGACACTTTCATATTGATGGTGGAAATGAATTCATTATTGATTTAAATGACGACAGTTATAGTGAAACAGAGAATGTGGAAGAGAAATTATCAGAAGCTTTCAAAGAAAGTTAGTGAAGTGTTTTTGAAGCGATCGTCCGTGTATATGGTATTATCTTTAATTAATATCAGATAATACCACATACACGGATCAAATACCCGAAAAACCAGTTTACTTGAACCATGCCTCACTATGTATCGATGAATAAAAACAAATAATGAAAAACGAGCAAAAAAACGATACTATTTTATCATGAATAGGTGAAGCCAGATTATTAAATGATACTTCAATTATTCCGAGTCGCACTGTTTTATAAAATTATTAAAAGAATCATGAATCACCTACCTTCTTCTTCATTATCGGAATCTTCGTCAGAATAATCGTAATCCATATCAGACTATTTTCCACCAACAAACCAGTGTATTGACCTTGTACGATTTTGGATATCTGAAGGAAAATTGTGTGTGTGTGTGCGTTGTGAAATGAAGGAGGATTAATAGAAATAATACCTGATAAAAGTAGATTTAGGGTGCTCACTGTCGACATTCAGGTTATTTGAATAACTACTGATAATTGAATAAATTCCCCTTATTTGTTGATCTGACCCTTTTTGTTTCAAGTAGTTTTCACCCACTGTGAGATTTGAATATGTAGTTGATGGTGTTTAGAAAAAAAGGTTTTTTGCTTTCACTTCTTCATCTTCATACAAAAAATTGTGTGGAACAGCCAAAGAAAGAAATGAAGAAATTTACCAAATTTAAAAATATGATAGAACAGACCAACGTGATGAAAATGCATTATCGTATTCAAAAAACACACTTGGATGTGAGATTTACCTTGAAAGTTCACAAAACCACGACACATATTTTGCTATAGGTACCATAGCGTTTTCAGGTTTCACAATTCTGTTTATAGAAATTCTATGTCGTGTGTTTATAGTAAATTGAATCATTATGACTATTACTACCTGCCAAACTTCTACATGATAATTTCATTGCCTAATTATTTAACTATTTAGGAGCCCCTCATAAGACTGGAGAACAATACTAGCTAGCAAATAAGAAAAACAATTTTGCGACTAACATTACAATGGTTATACATGAGATCAGAACAAGAAAAAAACAGTGTATTTTGAGGATAACATACTTTATTTACAATACACATGAAAAAACATTCAAATGAAGTCTTTTTTGTGCAAATGTTGACTTTCGTTTATATGTTTTATCGTTTTCCCTCATAAGGAACCAACAATATTCCCCCCATCATTGCTGCATCCCATCTGCCTTGGTAACGTTGCTCCATAGTCAGTATGTCTCGGTGGAACCTTTCCCCTTGTTCGTCACTGACAGCACCCAAATTTTCTTAGCGACATGCGACATCCCATTCTGCAGTGGTATTGAAGTAGTTCCTTCACAAGTGTTTCGTAATTTTCTATTTTCTTGTTCCCTAAAAACCCCGAAACAATTCTTTTGAAAGAACTCCACGCAGCTAATTCCACATTACCTAATTTTTGATCAAACTATTGATCACTTAGTACTTTTCTAATTTTTGGTTCAACAAATATACTTTTCTTGAGCTTTACATCACTTAATTTTGGAAAAACGTGTTTAAGATATTTGGGATATTCAATGATTTTTTTCTCAAACTGCAAAAGGCATAGAAGAGCGTTTGCCATTTAACTAGTTACTTAGATTTGCTACACAGGTTTGGCAACATATGTGAGGAGTCCAATCGCAATCTTGATAACCAACAACACATCCAAAATACTTATGGGGAGCTACTTTGGTCATTTAATTAATTGGCCGTTTCTGCGATTTAAGAGTAAACTGACCCTATATATAGAAAAACTATCTTCGTGATTAACGCAGCCATGTTTCTGTACTTTGGACATTTTTGTACTGTTGCGTACGTCGAGTTCAAATATATGATATTGCGTTTACAGGAGTCAACTTATTTTATTCAAAAAGATAACACTAATATAATACTCTTGATATTCACGTGTTTGCTTATGGAGATTGCTCACCTCGCTTCTCTAATATTAACTCACCACTACTCGCGTTAAACCAATATTGCTGTTCCGATTGTCAACCTGCTACTTACATAGCGGTTCCGTATTTCTGGTATTTTCTGGAAACTTCGAGTATCGGAAGTGCAGGAGAAGCGGCGTTACAAGTCTCATATACAGGGAAAGCAGATTCAAATACTGGGCAGAGCCGCTGTGTTGCCATATTTTAAACAATTTCCTCAAAAGGGGAAAAGCAAATTTGGAATATCGTGTTCATTGAAGTTTTGTGAAAAAAATCATAACTCAAACATCTTACGTGTTAGGAAATTATTACAATCGTTTTCGCATTTAGAGACCGAAAATTAACAGAGAGCTGCCATTGGCATTACAGTCGTAAATTGGCTCTGAACTAGTGTAATGGATAACAATTTTTATCTGAGCTATCATCTAATCTATTTTCAGGATCAGTCCTAATTACCAATTCGGGGATAAATACGATAAAGGAGAACAATTCAAATATATTTGATCATTGAGCAATAATTCCTAATTTCTACATCTATTGATTCCAAAAGGTTGAGTTTGGATTCGGAACCTTTTTTTCCGAATGCAATACGACATAACCATGACTGAACTCGTGCCTCTGTGTCAAAAGATCATTCGCTAAAGTTGAATTGGTCTATACATTCAAAAAACTAGTTCTATTCTCTCTTATTCTTTTGGAAAAAAATCTTTCGGTTTGTCCGATATAAAATTTTGGACAAGTACCACAACTTGATAGTCGTACTGTCGTACCTTGGCGTAAAATGAATCTACACCAGAACAACCGAGATACCGCAATTTTTGTTCTGGTATTAGGAAAATGAGGAGTCGGTGAACCTGGTCTTCCAGCAGCATATCGCTGCTACCCAATTCTGTTGGCAACTACATGAAATACCGGTATCGTAATACCATCGCTCTCTGGTGGTCAGGATACGTACTATAAATTTCATGATTCACTGAAGTCATTGTCCAAAGATTTATAGTCAGTCAACCTTGGACGACGATGGAAACGAAAAGTAGATGACGCCAATACAGTGGGTCTCCAAAAAAGAGATAAAAGATTGAGATGGAAAGTGTCGTAGTAATAAGTTGTAAATGCTTATTTTTATGTTTCTGACGGGCTTTGTATTCGTGTCGTGCTCAGCCAGCAATTTGCGCTGCAATTTATAGGCATATAAGAGGTTGTTATTAGTAGTAAATTTTTGTAATTCTGATGTGGTTTTATGGTTTTCTTCGTAATCAGTTATTTGTGCTTTTAGTAGTTATTAGTTTAACATCACAACAGAGTCATATCGTGAGGATATTGATCCAAAGTACCGAAAATTGCGTCAGTAGCAGCCTACACTGATCAACAGAAGATGTTCGATCCTGCTCTATGACATCGTTCGTCCATACGTTTCAAAAATTACCGTCCGAAAATTGAACTAGTTGAGCATCGAAGTTCTGCCTCACCCGCCATACTGTCAAGACCTCTCGCCAATCGACTACCATCCTTGCAAGCACTTCGATAACTTTCTCACCGGTATAACTTTCTCCAACCAGCACCAGGTAAAGGAACGGCCTTCATCAACTTCATCGAATCCCGAGCTCACATTCTTTTGAAAATTGAGTTGTGTTACGTTGGGAGAAGTGCCCTGATTCATTTCAATAAATTGAAATAAGAAAACTCAAGAAAGCAGACAAAACTATTGAAACAAAGTCAGAAATGATTCATTTCCAGACTTTCGTTTATGTGGACTTTTTTCCAAAAAATTAGCCTGGAACATGCCCTTGAGTTTTCTTACGGCAATCAGAAAATATCCTGTATATAATACCCAACACAATTTCTTTATTTTATACTTTCACTTCTATCACGTACCAAAAATGCTTATAGGTGGCAGCATTGCAACAAAAAACATCTCCTAGGAATCTTAAGAAACATGGGAATCTCAAAAACTTTTATGAGTTACAGAAAAGACCTGTAATACATGCTTTGACGTTTCTAAGAATCAACATGAATACGAATTATTCTATTTGGTTTTTTAACAACTACTATTTTTGCTGCCATTTTCATAAGTGTAATTTTTTCCTTTATTCAATATCTTGCTTTATCTAAATTTATAAATTACAATAGGTATTCATATTCGATGAAAAACATTCCTGGTAACAGATTATCACTTTGATGGAACATGCCCTTAAGTTTTCTTAGGGCAATCAGAAAACACCCCGTATATAATACCCACCACAATTACTTTATTTCATACTCTCACTTCTATCACATACCAAAAAAGCTAATAGGTGGCAGCATTGCAATAAAAAAACATCTCCTAGGAATCTTAAGAAACTTGGGAATCTCAAAAACTATGAGTTACAGAAAAGACCTGTAACACATGCTTTGACGTTTCAAAGAATAAGCATGAGTACGAATTATTCTATTTAGTTTTCTAACGACTACTATTTTTGCTGTCCATTTTTATAAATGTAATTTATTCCTTTTGTCAATATCTTGCTGTATCTGAATTTATAAATCACAATAGGTTTTCTTATTGGATGAAAAAATTCCTGGTGAGATGTTCTCACTTTGATGAATATATATTTTATATTTGCTTCAACTTCAAATAAATTGTTTTTTTAGTATGGAGCAGAAATTTGTCAGGATCTAATTCCAGGGGTAAACTCGTACTGGGACTAATATCTACCTGGTACTTCCTCAGTATGGCCAATAAACCCAACTTCACTTGCATATGACCAAATCGCATTCCTGGAAAAAATGTTAGAAATTTACTGTCTACAAATTTTCGAGATGCTGAGAATATAATATGAGGTTGAAATCGAATAAGTTCTCTATTTAGACTTTCAGAAGAGATGTTCTCCTATTGTCAATTTGGACCTCCACGTTTGAAATATAGAAAATATTATCACTCTTTTTTCGTCTGTCTACACTTTAAACACGTCCAAAATCTACTATCTGACGTTAGAAACAATATGTTGTTTTTATGGACGTGATCGTCACCGGTTGTATTTTTTTACGTTAAGTTAAGCACTAAAGGAAAATCCTTAAGGGCTCTCAGAGCGGTGTCTGTGCGAAAGTAGAGATTCACATTGGATTTGAATCGATGGAGATTGAAACCATTTGGAAAAACGATCTCCACATAAACGCAGTTCTCGAGGTGAAACAGTTCTTAAACAGTGGAGTTCGAGGTGTACTCAGTTTAACTTCGAAACGATGAGCAGCCACAGTCCGTCGCGTATTTCTGATCTATACCGCTCTTGGTGCTATCAAATGTGCCAAGTCATGGCTGGATGGAATCCAGTAATTTTAGGATATGTTAAGGGGCGAAGCTCCATCCATGAGAAAAATACTCCAAAGAAAACATCGCCACTGTCTGCGAGAGTGTACAGGAAAATCCGAAACCGTCGATTTCGGCCTCTTGCAGATCACATCTTGGCAAATTTTGCGTCGTGACTTGGGCTTGCACCCGTACAAAATTCAATTGACTCAGCAACTGAAAGTGTTAGCTGAATGGGCTCTGGAGCAGTTGTCAACTGACCTTAATTTTTATGGAAAAATCATCTCTAACAATCAGGCTCATTTCCAGGTGAAGAAACAACATTTTTGGGATTTGGGACGATATCAATCCACATGATATCCAAGAGCGTTCCAAGCATCCCGAAACAGTCACTGTTTGGTGTGGATTTTGGGCTGACGGCGTCATCGGTCCATATTTCTTCAAGAACGATGTTGGCCAGGCCATCACTGTCAACGGCGAGCATTAGAGATAAATGATAATTAACTTCTTTTGGTCTGAATTGGATGATCTGGATACCAACTGGTTTCAAGAGGAGGACGATACATACCTCACATCTCATGCCACATTTGATATTCAGCACGAGCGATTTGAGGGCATGGTTGTCTCACGTGGAGGTGATATGAACTGGCCACCGAGTTGTGCGATTTGACCCCGTTAGACCTTTTTTTTGTGAGGTTTTCCTAAGAAGCAGGTGTATGCGAATAAGCCATAAACCACAGCGGTCCTCAAAGCCAACATAACCCATGCGCTCTACCCAGAGAAGCCACGGCCGACATTTGAAAGATAATGGCATCAATTAGTTAGTTATATTGTTTTTATAGAAATAAAGTATTATTATCAATGATCGTTTCAGAATGAGTATTTGCTGACCTGCTCTGGGAGAGATTGTTTCCCCATGAAATGCAAATTCTGCTTCTGTGCTCACAAATTTGTGAGATATACTTATCTCGAGAAGCCAAAAGTTCTTTCCTGGCTGCACTACTCAGCCTCTTACGTTTGTTTAACAGGATCAAGAGTTGGAGAACTGACAAGCTCATGTTCTTCGTCCAATGTTATAAGAAGAACAGTTGGGGTCGCTAAGCCAACGTACGTAGTTGGTTTTACGTACTGATATAAATGAGTTTTTCCTTAGGTTGATTTGAAAACCAAGCTGGTTTCAAGATTCAGTAAGAAACGGGTATGGTGGTTTCGAAGATATATAAAAAGAATATCTACTTTCAAAACTCAATCGAAAAAATGTTACTGTCAGTAGTTCAGCATATGCTGAACTAAAGATGTGCAGTTCTATGTAAACGACTACGTATATTGCCTCATTTTGAAAAATCACTTCTAATTTTGAAAAATTGAAATTCATTTAGACATGAGACTCCATCACCTACCTATACACATTCTAGGCCCTTCTCCAAATGGAAAGTATCCTGGATGCTTCGCATTTTTATCCATGAACCGTTCGGGGTCATATTCCATTGGGTTTGGGTAATATTCTGAATCAAGCTGGAATCCAAGAGCTGGGATGATCACGGTGGTGTTTTTATCTATAGTAACATCAGAATCTCGGAAAGTGTAATCTTTCACACACACTCGGGTTAATGTCGTCAGGGGTGGCCATTTTCTGAGTGTTTCTGTGGAAATTTGAGTTATGAAATAAAAACAATTATTTTCTAGAATATTGGATATCAATTGAAATATCATTGACCAATAACTAACTTCATTTTTGTTTGTAGTTTCTGCCATAAAAGAACTAAGCACATATTACTATGCTGAACGACAGAACACTTTTTTTTCTGTTTCTAGAATTTTTTCAATATCGTCAGCAGATTGATAGCATACTTTATAATTTGACTACATAATACAACTTGGAATCCATTGTACTCCAATAATACTTTACTTTCTGCTACCTTAAATGGCTACGACATTTGCGAATAGTACTGATGCTCCCTAGGTGGATCGACGAGTTAATAACATTGCCCAACACTAAACGCTTGCGTTTAGGCAGCTATTTTTATCAAGTACTCTTCTGGTTTTTTCACATTTTGTCTTCAATCGAGGACAACCTGCCCGGTACTGACGATGCCCAATAGGCTGAATCAGCTGTCTACCGGTGGCTCTTGAATTGAAATCAATATGGAAATGATCAGAAAGTACTTATCTATTCATATTTTGATTTTCATGAATTATTTTCCAGCAGCTTAACTGCATTAAATTTTCTTGAAAAACCAATGATTTTTTCAGTACGATGGTATTGACGAAAGACAAATCGACGGTCTACGCATGTTCTACTCCCGACCTGTATATCGTCACGAAATATACCAAATCGGAAGAATCGAAGAAATGGGAAAAAATCGAAGACTTACCAAGAGCTGAAAATGATGATACAGAACTGATGCTGCAACTCAAACTTGATAAAGTTGANTAATTTTGTTCATTCATACCTCATAAAAGATATTTAGTAAATGTGAAATTACTTTCGTATAATTCCTTCCCTTAGTTTAATTGCGTTGTAATTTTTCGTAATTAGTGTATCAAAGTTCAACTGTTTGAAAAGTGCAGTAAAGAATAAATTATTGACTTTTCATTGATATTGTTTTTTAATTATGCTTATGTATCAAGCTATTTCACAAAAAGTAGAAATAAAGTGAAATATTTATCTGTTTTTAAAAACTGTATCAACTTTGCATCATTTTTGGCATAATTTTTTCTGGTGTTTTAAATTTTTGCGTAATAAGTTGCATTTTGAATTGCAATTGGTAATACAAATGCGTTGGAAAGATAAGTTTCTCTTTACCGATTTTCGAAATTTCGAGCAATAACTGCTTTTCTGAACATTTTTTGGAAAAAATGTCAAATTTGACAGGGAAGAAAAATCACTTGATCGATCATATGCATGTCATTTGGCATCATTTTTAAATCACAACCTAATGGAGATATCAAAAGTTGCTTGAAGAGATGAACAAAAAAAATACCATTTGATGCGGACTTTATGTGTGACACTGTATATATCTGCACTCTCATTATATTCAATAATATTATTTTTACTTTATTATTACATTTTATAGATATGACTCATGCATACCCATGCACAAGGTTTCACCTTTTATGAATTTTCTATTTAATTTGCTATTATTGTTACAAATGTTTTAAATATAGATATTATGAACAAATAAATCATTATAATCATTATTATTATTATATGTCTTTGGAATCGAAGAGCTAAACAAGGGTAAGCACAATATAGTTCAGAAATCATTAGTAGGTTATGACAAAATTATCCTTTCGCCATTAAACATAAAACTGGGCATCATGAAGATATTTATTAAATCATTAGATAAAGATGGGGACTGCTTCTCTTACATTTGCCAAAAATTCTCACAGCTCACTCTGGAAAAGATAAAAGCCGATATTTTGATGGCCCGTAAATTAAGCATCTTACGTAAGATACTCAATTCAGCAATTCTATGACTGAGCTAGAACTGAGGGCTTGAACAGCTTTCGTCTCTGTAATGCAGAACTTTCTCGGAAACAGAAGATCAGAAAATTATGACCCTCTTTTACAATTAGAATAATTGGGGTGCAATATGGGCATACAATTCCACTTCCTCCATAGTCATCTGGACAGATTTCCGGAAAATTTAGGAGAGCTATGCATAAGGACTTACGCATTATGGAAGAGCTTTATCAGGGTTTCTGGGATATCTGACTATTGTTGGTCTCTGATGCGCCATTAGCCTCAGTCTACACATCAGAGACAGCCATAGAATTTTACTTACATTTTTAAAATTAGCATATCATATGTGGTAAGCAACAGTTGAAATTTTATCTGCAACAAATGTACTGTAAACTAATGACTATTGATGTTGAACACAATGACAAATTAATTTCGAATTATTTTGTATTTTTTTTGTTGGTGATATTATTAAAGCGCGTTTTTTTGGTTTTTTCAACTATTATTTATTGTGATCTTTCACAAAATATCAAAACACTTTTTGATTCGATAATAGCAAAATCTGCAGAACAGTCCGGTCAAATTATACCAAAAAGTAAGAGTAAAGCTACCTAAATTTCCACCAAGCTGAATACTCACTGCTCGAACTCCAACTGAAAAAACTATTTTCTTCCTAAAACCAGGAAAAGCTCAACATCAATTGGAAATATATTCATCAAAAAGTTCATCTACTTTTGCAAAGTGTCAAAATCATGAACTATTTCTACACACAATAACTGGCTGTGATACATTTGCATTTTACAGGAGGGGTAAAATAACTGTTTTCAAAATGTTTGAAAAACAAAATTTTGTTCAATGTGCTGAAGTTTTTAAACGACAAGAAATTATCACTAACGGAGCTCCTAAAAAAACCTACCTGCCTAGATAAGTGTAGATATGCATGTTTCGTTAAAAATACCGAAAGTACCAAGTTCAAGTGTAGCTTGGTTATCAGCTAGACCCTACAGACTGGGGTTGGAAGTTGGTCAACAATTCATTAGAAACAAAAAGGGATGTAGTGCTAAAAGAGGTTCAACAAAGCCGGGCCATTTTTTTGGCATGTACACATTATCAAGGCCGGTCGTGCTCCAATATTGAATCACCAATAGTGGAGGATCCGTTTGATTCCAACGAGGCGACATGCGATTCATCGCTATTAACGCAGTTTACATGGACTCAGGATGAAGATGAAGGAGAACAAGGAGAATAATTTAGGTAGCTTCGAATGTCCAAATTGACCGGAATATGAAGGTGCAGTATTCATGAATCATGAACAGTGAACCAATTTGAACGAATAGTCAGTAAATGAATGTCAAATCCCAAAAAATTTAAATTGAATTCAGAAGCAATAATAATTTATTGAGTGAACATAGGCATAGTAGTAGCTTAATAAAATATTAATAGGGACAGAATTTCTGAGATTCCAAATAACGAAACAATGCTTGGATAATTTAATAGAAATAGAGTCAAAATGATCAGTCAGATACTTCTTAATCTCACCTTCAATAACCGCATTCAGATATTCCATTTTCATCAGCATATCATAGGTAACCTCATTGTCGTGTTGCTTCATACACTCTTCTATCTCATTTCTCAGTCTATTTTGAATTTCGGGTTTCTGGGACAATTCAAAGAGAGTCATTGTTATGGTCGTAGACGACGATTCGAATCCAGCGGCGAAAAATAAAAAAGTCTGCAGATAAAGTCCATAAGTACTTCCACAATAGAAATTAAAAATTAGCTAATTACCTGGCCTATTATCTCATCCATTGTCAGTTGCATTGAAGAATTCTTCATTTCAATCAGCATTTGTAAGAAATCATTTCTTTGTATATTATTATCTTCTCTATGCTTCACGAGATCACAAACAGTTTTGCAAAAGAATTTCGAAACCTCAGGTTGAATATTCGACACTCCTAGCTTTTCCGAAAGTTTTGGAAAGTAAATGGTGAGAAAAAGTTTGATTTTGTCCATCAAACTGAATTTGTTGAATAGATGTCTTCCCATTTGTCTAAACTCAGCGTTAGGATTCTTGAAACTGTTACAATCCAATCCTAACACAGTAGATCCTGAAAGTTTTGATATAAATATTAGATAGTGTTCCTTGCAGGTAATCCCACGTTAGAAGGTAGGACCTCGATAATCTTTGTCTTTCCTGATTAATTAGGAAATATAAAGACTGCGGTGATTGATCATGACATGATTATAGTCCGAAAAATCAAATTGAACAAAAATTCTCATCAATTTCTAATTCGATCGAACTGAAAGAAAAATCAATGAAAGATAAATGATAAAATTGCCATACTTGATAATTTATTCGAATAATACTTTATTAGTAAAATTTCACTGGACAGTTTATAAAACTGTGCAACGTGTTATGTTCTACCTGAAATATCTAGATTTAATCCGATCTGGAGAAACGAAATATTGAAATTCAATGTCAATTGAAAAATTTTTATTCATTCTCCTCGTTTTGGTTTCAACAACTGAACATTAAACTGAATATTACTACATACAGGGTGAGACAGAGAGTAAACAAATAATTCTTAATATAAAACTGAACATTTTCTCCAGCAATAATTGATTCGAATGAAAGAAATTACTTCAAATCTGATTATTCTCGAGAGACTTCTCTTTGAATACATAAAGTATACAAAGTGTAGATACAGCTCGCTTGAATGTTGTTCCAGAAACTGTAACAATATTAACCACTCTAATTTTTCCATCCTACCCAGGGTGAACATTTATAATTATTTCTCTCAGCCAAATGTTCCACGGACTACTGGGGTCATAAAATTGGACAATATCCCCTATTTTGACATTTCTTCTCTGCTGATACCATTTATGGTCCAGTCATTGAAGGTTAAAGTAGGTAAGAATTAGGTAAGAACCCAGCTGTAAGTATGTAAATACTTGTATATTGACACCCTAAAAGTTGTCTCAAAACCTACATATGGTAGGGTGTACGCAACTATTAAATTTTAAAGTCAAAGGTCACAAAAATCAGATACTCCTAATTCACCAGTTTTTGTCCATTATTTTTTGTACTGAATTTTTTTTTTCAACAAGCCAAAATTCTGAAGTCATGTATAAACATACTGGTCCCTTCAACTACCTACTATCAGTAGAAATATTTGTTGCTTCATCTGCCACGTTTTTGACGATATTTTGAAAATAACAATTCTTGAGTCATCCTGCTCTTCTGTCTGATTATTTGTCCATTGGATACATAAAGACTTTCAATGACCATCAAAATCGAAATCATCAGCGAGATCTTCATCAATTAAAGTTATGGTACTAGCATCGTCAAAAAGAGCATATGTACTTGAATGTACTTGAACGTGTTAGGAATCACACGTTAAAAGGTAAGACCTCGTTAGTCCTTAGCTCGCACAAGTTTCTCAACTTCTGAGAGTTGACGTTCGTATGGGGGCGACAGCTGATTAACGAAAAAACAGATTTTAAACAGATTTTTTTTTTAAACAGAAATATGAATAATAGATATAAAACATTCTATAAGAAACTCAATTTTTCAAAATAATGAAAGTTAATAAGACGTTTCTCATGCAATTTTCAGCCCATATGTATTTTCAGTTGCATACTGTAGTGGAACTTATGAAGGTTCACTTTGAGTCCAACTAAGTTTTGAAAAAAAATGCGTTCGACAAAGAGTGATAACTGAGACAATTTTAGCTTATTTCGGTTCATTCGGAAACAATGTGAATTCAATAGAGCAAAAAAGAAAAAATATTTCAGATAGTTTGAATTTACAAGCAATTCTCTTTGAAATTACTAACACTTTCTTCTTTATTCTTACTCGAAACTGTGTGCCTAGTAATACATAAGAACAAATCATCTTACGATGTTGTTGTTGTTGTTGGTTTCACTCGCCAAAACGACAAATTAAGACTGCCTATCCATCATCAAATTCGATTAAAAACTTATTGAACTATATAGATGAAATATATAACCATCTATCGATAAGTTTTAAAGATGTCCAGTCACCTGATCGGTTCAGGAAGTCTGTAAAGCAAGTTCTAATTGACCAGGTGTTTTAGAGTGCTCAAGAGTACTTTGATGAAGATAGGGATGGAATTCTGATATAAAATTGTTCCGTATTGAATCATTATTTATGTTGATTTTTAACAGCTTCTGCAATTTTGAAAACAGTGTCTGAGTATCTTATTTACTTCTTTCATTTATTTACTTCCGTATTTACCTGTTAATATCTGACTATTCGTTCATCTATATAGAATGTATATATATATATATATATATATATATATTCATCAAAAAGTTCAT